AGGATTAGGTTGAAGCCATATTACCTTTTTCTGTTGTCTCCACTCTTCCTAGAACCAATGCTCCAACCTTCATCATCATGAGGGCTCTTAATTCTGAAGTGACCTCTTGAGGAACCATGACATCTAGGATTTAAGCTGGTGTTAAATTCTTAGGAAGTTAGGAGGGTCAGCAGGCTGTTTCTGTTTTGTCACTCACTTTATCAATTTTTATGGTTTTTGTGCTCGAATAACCTTAGCAGGAGCTTCAGCTCTGTCTTCACATTCATGATAATATGCTTCCAGAAAGAATCTTACTATTAGGATCTTTAATCATGAATGACTTAAGTAATAGCTTTTCTTTCCGTCGAAAAAAAAAAAATCAAATAGCTTTTCTTTTCCAGTTTCTGTCAACATCTTGATTGGTAAAAGAAACCCTTTAGGTGATGTGTGGTGACCAATGGCACTGCCAAACTCACAACGGAGTGACTTAAGACCTCTATTTTGATTGATTAAAATCAGGGTCCATTTCTGTTTGAGGCAAAAGAATAACTATTTTCTGGCTTTGATTTAATTGAATTGAATCAATATGACTTGCTACACTGTACTTATTTGAAATTATAAGTTATGATTAAGGTTTCCTGTTAAGGGTCTAGTGTACTTTATTGGAAACATCCTCTGTTACCCAACAGCTTTACCTTGCCTTGACCAGGAGCCTCTTTTGAGGTATTTCAAATTAGTTGATGTTTCCTAGCAATATTGTGTATGTCTAACATATTGTGGTGCTATGCTCTGAATATCTTCAGGTACTCCCATCAGCGGCAATAAGTTATTTTGTGTATGAGTGTATGAAGATAGTCCTCAAAGCAGAATGAAAGAACGCGACAGCTGAATTGAAGCCAGTTGGTGCTGCAGCCATGAGCGAGCATGTCATATACTGAGATTGGCAAAGCCACTCCATTTTGACAGCTTCCGGAAACCTTTTCTACAAATTTGGTCAGCTGGTGTCCTGTCAACTTTCTGGGGAAGTATATTTGGTTATTCCATACTATTGGGAATCTGGTAATCCTTTCCTGTCAATCCATGTGCGTTTTGTCAGTTTGCAGTAGCCGACATGATCATGATTCTCACAAATGCCCTGGCTTAGCTGCTGATCGGGGACTGGGGGCATATCTGGTGAAGCACAGGGGTGTAGTAATACACCTGGATTGCCTTCAGAACCTTGATTCAGATGTAAAGATGTGGCTTTTTAGTACATTCTTGACCTATTATTGGTAAAAATAACACATTGCCGTTTACATTGTTGTACGTTTTGCTATTCCTTTTAACCTGAGGAAAAACCTTGCTGTCTTTTGTAAACGCTGAAGGCATAATTCATGATTGTAAAAGGCAATCAGCAAGTGAGCCTTTCATTTTCTATCTTAACAGAATTGTTAGCAATTTGTGTGAATTGTGTCTGTGTTGTCATCTTGACATTGAGAAGTAAATCTCGAAACAACCTACTATTTGTTTTAAGTTAATAGTCACATATGCTATCCTAAGATGCGTGAAAAAGGTATCACCTTTCCGTTGGTGCACTCCAACATTCTTCACCCATTTGACTTCCTAATATTCATACAACCTTCAACACGGCCATAGATTTTGATGGTGTAACATTTAATTTTACATAACTTATAGTAAGGGAGAAAAAATAGATGTGAATAGAGAGAAAATATTTAAATACAGGTCTGGGCTACACCCGCAAACCAAGAGAGAGTTTATGTCACAAGTTTAAAGTAGGTTTTATCCCAAAACCATATGACAATAGGAGGTTTGGCCCCTTAGCCTTATAAATGTTTTAACTCTCTTAACTTTAATCAATGTGAGACACTTACATGTGTTATTTGGTAGGATATACTTCAAAGTACACCGTAATAGATATCTCGAGTAATGTATTTCAAATCCAAAAATAAGATAGCAAGATAGTAAAATTAAATGAATATAACACGAAAAACGGGTGGGGGAAGGTGCGAAAAGTGTTGTTGCTTTGTTTTGTTGGAGTATAGGGAATGTTTTGGTCGGTTTAGGCCGGTGGGCTGTTGCCTTAGGAAAAGTGATGAAACTCTTTTAAAATTCACCATACTAAAATGTAAAAAGATGTCCTCCACCCAAAAAAAAAAAAAAAAAAAAAAACATATATATTTAATTTTTATAAATAATAAAGAAATGACATGATAAAATCTATTTGGGTGGTTGCTTTTGCCATAACTTAGGAAGTTGGGCTGGGCCCTAAACTAATAAATTATTAATTTATTTATTCTGATGTAAAAAAAGAAAATGATACAAGTAGCCTTAAAAGAAGTTAAAAAGAGAAAATATTAAAGATAAAATAACATTAATTACACCAATCTACGCGTAATTTTGTCATAAATTTCCAACTTAATTTTACTTTAAAAAGTATATTTAATGCTTATATATACCCTTAAAAGCTACATATATTATTACCTAAAAAAATACTATAATTAATTAAATTATTTTTTTTACAAATATAATTTATTACTAGCATATACAAGTCTATGGTCATATGTTTATGTTTTGACCAGTCTCTATCAGAAAAGAGTATTAAGTTAGCTAAGTTTAGTCCCACAATTCCTATAACAATAATAATAACCTACTGTATGTGATTTATGGGGGCCTAAACGAATCATTTACTAATGAATCTACTCTTCCCTTTTCTCATTGCATCAAACTTGGATTGATAAAAAAGTTTGTCTGCAAAAGTGTCTAAATGTTAAAAGATCATAAAGTAAGTTAAATGGTCAAAATTGTAGGTGAATGTTAATTAGTTTAATTTGAGTTTCTGGATGGTGAACATAAAATTTGATTTTGGATTTCATCTAATATTAAATTTATCAAATTTCGGTATTAAAATAATTAAATAAAGTAATAAACATATACTTCTTCCAGTATAGTATTATTGCAACAACCAGATTTTTACACTATTTATCACGCTTTTTTGACCACATATTATGATTTATACGTAAAGTAAAATATAATTATGTGGGGTCTTGTTAGATTCGTCTCGTAAAATACTTTCACAGTATCAACTTTTTATTATTTTTACTCTGATATAATTATAGATATTTAGCATATAAAACGTGCTTTGAGATACGAAATTTAATCCTTGTTGCAATATTTGTAGAGCAAAGAACATAATATGTTTGTGGATGCTTAAGTTTAAAAACATGTCTTATTATAGAAATGTACTTGCGTCATCATGAATCATGATGCATGGAGATATAGAGCATGAATAAGCATTTATACATCTTTCAAGGGTAGTTGAATCTAGCATGATGAAAAGGACAATATATATATCAATATACTTCCTCCGTCTCATAATATAGCTTTTGTTCTTCTATTTTGGAGATCTAAAATATTATTTACGTGTTTATTTTTGGATAGTATATAAAGACTATTATACCCTTACTTTTTTTTTTATTCATTGTACTTCCTAAATTACCCTTGAATTTTGCACAAGTCTTGTACTTTTTCCATTTTCTTACTCTGTAACTTTTGTCTATAATTGTACTTTTCAATTTTATTAATGTACGTTATCCATTTTTTCCTTCTATTTCTTAAATACTGTGAAAAAACACAATAAGAACTATATTATGGGACGGAGGGAATGGTATATCCTACATCCCTACATACTACTATCCTAGTGATATGCATTTTTAACTCCCTATGAGATAATATTAGTTATGTATGACAATTGATGAATTTAGTCGGTGACATGGTATATTAAGAGTCTAGAGAGGGAATATAAGAATTATTACACATATAATACTAACAAAACGAAACTTATGTAATCTGGGGACATGTATCAAAGCTAAATTGACATTTTAAACAATAATATATATATATATATATATATATATATATATATATCATAAATGGATAAAATAAATACCTTTGAGTCTCTAAATAGGACAAGTATATTTACCTTTAGTCATAAAATATTTTTTTATATACAAACCATCAATTAAGTATTCACATGGTTGCATAATATGTCTAATTAAAATGCACACAACTATTAAATAGGTTAGTCAAACCTAGGAAGCACGTGAATTTTGGAGAAATGATTTAATGAATACACAACTACGGAGTATAAGTTACAATTTTCATGTGATATGTTTGAGTTACCTAATTTTTACTTTCTTTTCTATATTGAGAAGCTAAATTGATATAGTTTATTCTTACTACCCTCTCTAACAATATACTGGTATACTCTACTATCAAAATAATACACTTTCTAAGAAAAGCAAGTAAGATGAAAGTAACAAGCGAAACCACCATAGTTCAACCCCCTTCCCTCCCATGAAAACCATTAATGTCAAAGACTACAATTACCAATAACCTCCATAGTATGTTTGTGACATAGGTAAGCTAAGCCACCAACCCATTGCCCATCACAACTTTGAACTATCACAAAACACAATGAAAAATGAAAAAACACAATGAACTATCACAACCCATTGCATATTTGATTAATTTAGTTTAAATTTACTCACGTCAATAAAATTTAATCTTAAGTTTTAGATATCACCTTAAAAAGTTTATCAACTAAACTAGCTAAAAAAGTAATGTGTCAAAAAAACGTGACAATAGCAATATGCACTATTCTCACTAGTTTTACGCAACTAGTAGTAGAATGTGAAAAATAAAAATCTCCCAAGATAAGATACTCTCAATCAAGCACAAAAAACTTACCAAAACTAACAATATCGAAGAATCCAAAAATGGCAAGAAATACCAAGAAAGGCGATGACTACTAGGGAAAATGAAAAGGTAAATCGAGAATAGTGTCAAATTTCTGGCATCACCACAATCCAGTTGGACAAAGAAAGCCTTAAATAAAGACAAATCAAAATCAGTGACTTGGATTGGTGGGCCACCTTTATGTGTCATAAAAATAAATCAGAAAAAAAATACAACATTTTTTTTAGTTAATTTAATTTTTTTTGTAATACTAGAAAAAAAAAAAAAAAAAAAAAACCTCAAAAAACTCAAAAAATTCTCTTTTTTTCTGCCGGCCAGTCGGCCACTAAACTAAAACCACAAACCTCTTTTAAATTTTGTTTTCTTTCCTTTTGGGTTTATTTCAATTTTTAGTTTCTAAAAATAAAATAAGATTTCATTTTATTTTTTATTTTTTGGGTTACCTTTGCTCTTTTGCTACGCATTCTTCTTGCCCTTCCCAAAATTTGTGATAATTTTGGTGAAAAGAGTCAAACTTTAAGACCAAAACAGGATTTTTTGCTGGGTTATTTTTTTCTGCAAGAACAAAGATTTTGTTAATTGGTATGTTCATTTTTATTATTTTTAGTTTAAAATCTTATTTTTCTTTCTGGGTTTTCATTTTACCAGTTTATCTTCTCATAATCTGATAATAATACGTAGTAGTTGACAATTTTGTTTAATTTATTGGATCAATGGAACAGTGCAATTTTCTTGAAAAAATGTATCAAATTAACTAATATTATTATACTATATGTATGATTAATATATCAATATTATGCCCTCATTTCTCTATTAATTTCAATAATAATGTATTGGTATTGATTTTGTTTGATTTAGTAGGAAATTATTACTCTATTTGGAAGATTTCAATCGGTTTCCCAATCAGATTGTCTGATTGGAGGAGGAAGAAAAGATTAGCAAGATGTCTGGATATGCGGGTGTTGTTGTTTCTGATCCTTTGCTCCATAGCCAGTTCACTCAGGTTGAACTTCGCAGCCTCAAATCCAAAGTAATTACCCTTTAAACCCTCTTTATCTCATTTTAGTCTTATTGCAATTTCTGGGTTTTGTTTATTTTTTGGTCATCGCAAATTAGATGGTGCACCCGGGTGCACAATATTGTATTGGTATAGTTCTTGATTTGAGTATTATATCATAATTATTAGTTTATTACCACTGTTCAGATTTAGTTGTCACATTATTGATTCAAATTGCTATATGAGGGTGAACATCGGATGGAGGGAGTAGTTATTACACAAATTGATGTAGATGATGATTAATGGGTGTTGTTTGTTTTGTTTTGCTTTCTGGTTATAGTATACTTCTTTGAAGAATAACAATGGTAAGGTGACCATTGAAGACATGCCACCAGTTTTGGCAAAGTTAAAAGCGTTTAACCAGTCTTTTAAAGAGGAAGATATTAAGGAGATTTTGATTGAGTCAGCCTCAGATATGAATCAAGAGGTCGAGTTCGAGGATTTCTTGAAGGTAACGACTTGGTGAATCTCTGTTTCTTAATCTATCTGTATTGTATATTTGTACGACTGTGTATTAATGCATTAAGAACTAAGAAGTAGAATTTATTGTTGAAAATGATGAGCTCAAGTTATAATTAATCAGTCTTTTTTTATGCTATAATTAATATCTGTATGTAGAAGTTACAACTTGCTTTATGACATTGGAGGTTATAATGTAGTAGTATATATAAGCATAAGTAACATGTAGGTCAATTTTATTGGCATTGGCAGGTTCATCTAAGCTTCCAAATTCGAGCCTCAGCTCAGCTTGGTGGTTCAAAGGACTCCTCTGCCTTTCTCAAGGCCTCAACTACTACCCTTCTTCATACAATTAGTCAGTCTGAGAAGGGATGTTATGTTCATCACATCAACACTTACCTTGGTGATGATCCTTTCCTGATGCAATTTCTTCCGCTAGATCCTAATGGTGACGATCTTTTCAATATTGCAAAAGATGGAGTTCTTCTTTGGTAATTCATTCAATGAGGTTGATTTAGAAGATTATTTTCTCCTTGTGGCAACTTTCTCATATGTGTATGAGATCATGACATGTTCTGTGTGGTTATTGCAGTAAGCTTATAAATGTTGCCGTTCCTGGCACAATAGATGAAAGAACAATAAACACCAAAAGGGTACTTAATCCCTGGGAGAGAAATGAGAATCATACTCTGTGTCTGAACTCCGCAAAAGCCATTGGATGCACTGTAGTTAACATTGGACCTCATGACTTGGTTGAAGGAAGGGTAAGTAGAATTGAACTAGCTAGGAACTTTTTTTTTTTGAAAATTCCTCTCTGTATTTTTATAACTGAAGCTCTCCTTTCCTTTTCAGCCACATTTGGTGCTTGGATTAATCTCTCAAATCATAAAGGTATAGCTTTATATTTCAAGTTTGAGACCTTTGATTTTCTTAATTACTGGTGGTCAAACTTAGATAATAAGGTAATGATTGTACGTGGCACTAATTAAGCTGACAATCATATTGGTTCAGATCCAACTCCTTGCCGATCTCAACCTTAGGAAGACACCACAGCTAGTAGAATTGGCTGATGACGCTGATGTAATGTCCTGTTCATCCTTTTTTTTGCTCAATAATACGGTTTGAGCTTAAGAGAAGTTGTTTTCTAATGACATTCTATCTATGTTGGCAGGACATTGAGGAGCTCATGGGTTTATCCCCAGAAAAAGTCTTGTTGAAATGGATGAATTTTCATCTCCAGAGAGCTGGTTATGAGAAAATTGTCACAAACTTTTCATCTGATATGAAGGTATGTCTGAATTGGTAAATTTGCTTTTTGAGGAAGCTCTTTCCAGAAAGGTATCTTGTAAAATTGTTGGTTGTAATGTTGGCTACATGTTCACGTATAGCATCTACTAGTTATGATCATGATTAACTAGCAATCATGGATGCCAGTTGTTGGAAAGCTTTTGGGCTTAGAAGCATGTCATTGCTATTTTGGGAAATGGAGAAATCTTTTCCTTGACTGATTGCTAGACTGATTGCTAATCCAATGGCAGATGTGATATTGCACAAAGTTGAAACTATTTCTGCCTTAAGCTTTACTTTCCCATCTTATTTTAATTAAACTCACAGTTAAGCATGCTAATCTACTCATCATGTCCGTGCTAATGTTAGAAATTCAATAGATTCTTGTCTTATTCAGTATTATGCTAGGAATTAATCCCTTCAAGTATCTGCCTAGAATCCCTAAACTTCACTCGTATAATTATTTATCTTATCATTCAAGTTATTGTGCTGGTGACTGAATGATTGTGTCTTCTGTTTAATAGGATGCAAAGGCATATACTTACCTGCTCAATGTTCTCGCACCAGAACATTGTGATCCAGCTACATTAGATGCGAAGGACCCTACTGAGAGAGCGAAGTTGGCACTTGACCATGCAGAGAGAATGGGCTGCAAGAGATACTTAGATTCTAAGGACATTGTTGAAGGCTCATCAAACCTAAATCTCGCTTTTGTTGCTCAGGTTTTTAAGATGAGGTGAGATATTAGTATTCAGAAGATATACACATCTTGTAATCGTCAGAGGCAATTAATATATCAGTCTTTGTTCTTAATAATCTCTTTTGTGGACTGAACAATTGTTATTCTCCTTTTCCTACATGTAAAATATTAGAATGTGAATTTTCTTTGCAGGAATGGTTTGTCATTAGATGGAAAAAAGGTTTCTTTTGCAGAGATGATGACAGACGATGTACAGACATCTAGGGAAGGAAGGTGCTTCAGATTTTGGATGAATAGTCTTGGTATTGCCACCTATGTCAACAATGTGTTCGAGGATGTTAGAAATGGGTGAGCATGTTCTGCCCTTCTATTCTTCTTTCTCCATCAATAGGGTGGGGATGTGGGGGTGTTGGAACCTCTAAATTGATATAAATGTCACTTCTTAATCAGACCTGCTAAGATCATTTCCCCTTCATTGAGATTAAACATCGCTTAGCTAGAATTTCTTATTTTGTTTATTAGAACTACTATAGTAATATGTCAATGATTCTCTCTGTTTTGGGTTTAATTATCGACTATATGTAAAGGATATGGTTTCTTCTGTGTTTTTTGTACAATCTAACCTTATGTCTTGCAGCTGGGTACTCTTGGAAGCTTTAGACAAGGTATCTCCTGGATCAGTCAACTGGAAGCACGCGACAAAGCCTCCTATCAAAATGCCTTTCAGAAAAGTTGAGAATTGCAATCAAGTTATAAAAATTGGGAAGCAATTGAAGTTTTCCCTTGTGAATGTTGCTGGAAATGATATTGTTCAAGGAAACAAGAAGCTAATACTCGGTATAAACACTGCAAATGTTCTGAGATTGAGACTCTTTGAACGCACATTGATTTATTTTGTATATGATTGATCACATAACACATTTCTATTTTCTTCTAGCTTTACTGTGGCAGTTAATGAGGTATAACATGCTCCAACTATTGAAAAACTTAAGATCTTTCTCCCACGGGATGGAGATCTCTGATTCAGACATCCTTAATTGGGCAAATTATAAGGTGAAAAGCTCTGGGAGAAAGTCTCGAATTTTGAGCTACAAGGTCGGTGGCTAGCAAAGTATTTATTATCTTTTCTCTTTTATGAATGCTTAGCCTTTTTTCCAGAGATTTGGATCTGATTGGACTATGATGTTATACTCAGGACAAAAGCCTTTCTACTGGCCTATTCTTCCTTGAACTTTTAAGTGCGGTGGAGCCTAGGGTTGTCAATTGGAACCTTGTCACCAAGGGTGATAATGGTAAAGACTTTGGTTTCTATGGTTTACTTACAACAGACTACTTTATTATCCATAATTCCATATGTGAAAATGTTGCGATACTCATTGTAACTTGTTTTGGTATTGTAGATGACGAAAAAAGGTTGAATGCTATATACATTATCAGTGTTGCAAGAAAGCTTGGATGCTCTGTCTTTTTATTGCCCGAGGACATTATGGAGGTAAGTTATGAAATATCGTGAAATTCCTATTTCATCTCAACTTACCACACACCAATGCTATAGATTTGTCATAGTACCAAGCATGAGAAAATATTCCTTTATATTTTGATGCAAATGTGGGCAGTTCAAATTACAAAACAAGAGCTAGATATTGAATCCTTAGTTATTTCCAAGGTTACAAACTCAGGAGGACTGAATAATAATTTTGTTTGATTTGAAGACAAAAGATTCCTGACATTCTAAAACTTTATGCTTGTCCATCCACAACCTAGGTTGTTTGTCTTTTGTAATGTTCAATCTTCATGCCAGTATAGCTCAACAAAAGCTCCCTGTATTACAATATTATGAGAATCATTCTTTGCAAATTGGTTGTCAGTACATTCCAGTATTCCACCACTTCTTTTGCTAATAATGAGATTCCTCCAGCCTAATATAGCTATCAGCTCTGCCCTTAGGATATTTACCACCATTGCATGTCTCTGAAAACTCAAAATTAAGCTGCCATTTGAGTCTCTAAAGACCTTTTCAATTCCTGCATGTACTATAAGATTGATTGGGAAAACATGTCTTCTCGGAGGTAAAGAATTCCTAGGAAAGTAATTTTGTGGGATGAAGGTTTGAAGGCAGGCTTCAGGTGACTGTAATTTGGGTAAGTATGGCTGAGTACTGTTTTTTCCAAGTCGACCAGACTATGAAGGAGGTATTGTGCTTCAATAGAACTTAGAAGAAGCTGTCAGGCACATTAAACATGTCTTATTTTATCCTCGAGACTTGTGATTAACGGCTTGTAAAACCTTTTGGAAATCAAATTTATGACTTTTGAAAATGAAGATTTGAAAAATACATCTTAGGAAGAGTGAGATTTGGGGCATTTTCCAGTTGAGTTGCTAAATCTTCAGGGAAAGGGAAGGAAAGGGTCTTCTACAGAATTTTCAACAGTAAATAAATTTGCAATGGCTGAGATGAAAAGGGCTAGTGTTGGATCCTCGACACCCTAACTTGTGTATATACCAAATAAATGAAATTTCATAAAAGAGCTGAATTCTTTTGGACATAAGGTTGGGGTGAATTTGAAAGAAAAACATAAATAAATCTTGTTAAGTTTTTTGATTAGTGAAACAGTCATGTGACGCTGCTTCTTGTCAAAAGTTGATGTTTCTCTGCTTTGATTCTTGCAGGTAAATCCGAAGATGATCCTGACCTTGATGGCCAGCATCATGTACTGGTGCTTACAGCAGGAGGATCTAGAATCTTCTCCGTCCCTCTCAGAATCTGCTACTGTCACAGATATATCCTCTACTGCTCCCTCAGTTCAAAGCGAGGATGAGAGTTCCATTTGCGGAGAGATCTCATCATTCAATATCGATGATGCTGCATCTGACTCAACTGCTTCTTCAGTGATTGACAACATTGAAGATGAGCAATGAGGGTAGTTTAAAAGCTGCATTCCTTGTGCACGAGCTAAATAAAAACCATCAACACATTAGGAGTTGTACAGAGAACAATGTTTATATTATACATCGTTATGGAAGTAGCGCAAAGGTTAAAGAGGTTGGCAAAGGGGGGAGAGCCAGAAAAGTTTAGTTATAGTAATACGAGCATTTTCGTGTAGAGATGAGCTTGTATTTTCTATGCTCATCTGTGATATATAAGTCTGCTTTCTCAAATATGTGCATCTGTGCTTTGTGCATTTTCATTTCCATAGCACTTTTTGGTGTAAGTCCTTATTAATAATTGTATGATCTCTATTATACAAGGCCTTCCTTTGATGATGTGCATAAAATTTCTCCTTTAATATGCTGGATTTTCTTATTCTATGTTGGAACCTTTGCTGGGAGTTCCTTCTCTTTCTCATAACCACAACACTAATTTAGTGTTTTGTCTACATAAGTTAAATGTATCATAACTTTACCCTCAACAAAATGTTGATCCCTGACCTATGGGCTATAGCCATTTGCACATGATTTATCATGACACATTTTAAATAAGGAAAATGAGACAAGTAAATTGGGATGGAGGTAGTGGGGATAATTTTTTCGTTATTTATTCCATTATAAATACTTCTCTTATTTCTCTATCATTGATTAGGGAAAATTTAAACGAAGACCTAGTTTGACAATTGGTGTGTTTGACAAAATTAGCTGGTAGCTAGGTGTCAAATTATTCGTACTCGTATGTAGTGATTAATTAATTAATAATATAGAATAATAGAATCAAAATTGCATGCGACAAATAAGGTAGAACATTTATAATGGATATTAGAGAATATCTTGATTTAATGGAGAAGTTTAACTATTATACCGAAACAAAGGTGGTAAGTTTGATTCTAACACACATAAAGAGGAAAGCTTTTCATTCTAAGGGCATGCTTGGATTGAGGGAAATGCATTATTAGGGTAGTAAAAGTCAAACTAAGCAAAATGAAAGTAAATAGGGAAGGAGGAGATAGTGATGGTGTCCTTGTAAGAAAAAATATTTAGTGATGGTGATGAATGAGGTGAAGAAAGAGGCTCATTTTGGGGGTGATAGTTACACTAGGGAGAGGGTGTGTAACTACTATCCTCATTATGAGGGTAATAATTCCTCCGTCTCTCTCTTTTCCTCATGGAACAACTACCTTATGGCATTTGTAAACACCATACCTCCTACAACAACAACTATAATTACTTATGTTTTTTCAAGTTTGACTTTTATTACCCCCTTAATATATTACCCCCAATCCAAGCATACCCTAAGTAGCTTAAAGATTTTCTGCAAATACCATAAAAAATGATTATAGAAAGAAGAAAAAACAAGTTTATGATATTGATAAACATTAAATTTTTTTATCAAATGACAATCTTGTTAATAAATAGGCTAAATTTCCATAGTATATGGGTAAAACCGCTAATTTTACCCTAAAATATGACAATTTTGTCCCTTGATAGATAAACAATATTTGTTTATCAAGATGATTAATCGGAGCTTACTCATATGAAAAGTGTATTTCTGTATATATAGGTAGTAAGTTTTTATTCTAATGCATAAATTGAAAAGATTCATAAATTATACAGAGTAAAATTGTCGTATTTGTGTATGATCAATTAGGGCCTTGTTCGTTTGAGCTATTCTGCTTTGATCTGCTCTACTTAATAATAATAATAATAATAATAATAATAATAATAAATATTTAATAATAATAATTATTATTAATATTTAATAATAATAACTAATATTTATAGATAAAAATAAATAAGTATTTAATAATAATAATAATTAATATTTTATAATAATAATAATAATAATAATTAATATTTTATTATAATAATAATAATAATAATAATTAATATATAATAATAATTGATAATAATAACTAATATTTAATGATAATAATTAATATTTTATATTATTTAACACAATTTATAATGTAATAAAAAGAGTAAAAAAATCTACAAAAACAAATAATAATAATAACAAAATAATGCGATAAGAATATAATAATAATAGTAATAATAATAAAAGTAATAATAATAATAATAATAATAAATATTTAATGATAATAATGCGATAATAATAATAATACTAATTATAATATTATTAATAATAATAATGATAATAATAAAAAAAATGATAAAAAAATAAATAATAATTATTATTAAAATAATAATAATATAATATTAATAATAATGATAATAATAATAATAATAATAAATAATAGTAATAATAATAATAATAATAATGATAATAATAAATAATAGTAATAATAATAATAATAATAATAATAATAATAATAATAATAATAATCGTGTACTGGAGTTTCAAAACTCTACTTTTCTATGCGCACTTGTCCTCCTCGTCTTTTTGAAGCGACCCGGATTTCTTTTGATGTGCCCCTTCGAGGTTCTTTGGAGCGCATTGTAACTGCTTCGGGGACAGGTTTTGGTGATTGGCAATGGCGACTTGCCACCTTACCTTTTTCTTATGGAGGATTGGGTGTCTATTCAGCGGGTGATGTTCGACACTATGCTTTTCTTGCGTCGCGCTTGCAGTCTTCTGGTCTTCAGGCTTCACTTCTTCGCAATTCTGGTATTGTTGGTCCAGGTCCAGCCTTCGACGGCGCTCTTAGTCTTTTTAATAGGACTGTGGAGACTGACCTTTTGAGTAACCCTAGTGAGATCGATGCCCCCAAACTCATGAAGAAATTGGCAGATATATATTTCACGAAGGTCTCTGCATCTGCAGAATCCAGTTTCTCCTTATCTTCGCGTCAGGTTGCCTTATGGAAGTCCCAGCAGGGGGATCACACTTCTGCCTGGTTGCGAGCGGTCCCGATATCCGGTTTGGATCAGACTATGAATGGTAAGACTTACCGTTGTGTTCTTTGCTACCGGTTGGGTGTTCCCTTGTTCGCCGTATCGGCACCTTGTTCTGCTTGCTCACGGGTGTTTGATGGGGATATTTATGGGGATCATGCAGTGTCTTGTGTTGGAATGGTGGGTATTAAACATCGGCATAACGTTGTTCGTGATACCCTTGTTGATATTTGTTTCCGCTCTAGGATTTCTGCAAGAAAGGAGGTCAACGTTGGGTTGTTTGGAGGGAATGACGGAGCTCTTCGGCCAGCAGATGTGTTGCTTTACTCTTGGGATAGAGGCCTAGATGTCTGTGTTGACTTAACGGGGTCTTCTCCATTGACACAATCTGGGTTGTCTGACTTCGTTCCTGGTCGTGTCGTGTCGGCTGCGGCTTTGCGGAAGCGGGACAAGTATGGGGCGCGTTGCAGGGCTATTGGCTATGGTTTTCTTCCTTTCTCCTTTTCTTCATTGGGGGAATTGTAGAAGGATGTTGTTGCATTGCTGAAGCGGGTTCAGGCGTTCGCTAGGACTCAGGATATTGGTACTCGTGCGACTGCTCACATCTTTAACAGGATTGGGTTCGCTATAGCTAGAGGGGTGGGGGCACAGATTGTATCTCGGCTCCCCACTAATTTCTTGTAAATCGTTTGACTTTTTAGGTTTCTGTATAATAATAATAAGTGAAGTTGTTGATGCGGTTTCAGATAAGTTTGTGGCCTTTATTACGCAGGTGGTTAATCTCTTTCTTGCTTGGAAATGCCCTGCTGAGTTGGGAGAATATATTGCTAGTGCTCCTCTCACGCCGCTTGTTAAGCCTAGTGATGGTATTCAACCTATTGTTGTGGGTACCGTTTGGAGGCGCCTGGTTTCAAAGGTTGGGGTTGCTTTAATTGGTCCGCGTCTGGGAAGCTATTTAGGAGGCCTTCAGTTTGGTGTTAGGGTGCCGGCGGGCGGGAAGGTTATTCTTCATGCTGTTAATCGTTTGGTGGAGGCTCGTGGTAGTAATGTTGACCTCTCTATGTTGCTGATGGATTTCTAGAATGCCTTCAATTGATCTTACGGCTTTGTTGCGTGAGGTTCGTCTACGTTGTCCTGCTCTCTCACGTTGGGTTGAATTCTGTTACTCTACTCCTGTCAGGCTGTTTTATGAGGAGCATACCTTATGGTCATGTCAAGGGGTTCAACAGGGTGATCCTCTTGGCGCTTTGCTTTGTTCTCCACCCGTTGGTGTGTTGAATTAGGGATTCTTTTGACTTATAATTGTAGTATTGATATTTGGATGACGACACTAATATTGGTTATACCTTGGTGGTAGGAAAGGTTATGCACTACAAGAAAACAGCTTGATTCCGACGGAATTTTATGTTGGAAACATCGGAAATTCCGTCGGAAACTAGCCTTCCGACGGAATTCCGTCAAAATCAGTCTGTCATAAAACCCTTTGTAGGAAATTCGGCCTTTTCCGATGAAATTTCCGTCGGAAGGCTAGTTTCCGACGGATTTATTTCTGTTAGCGCTGTTTTGACTTTAATTGGAATTCCGTCGCATTTTTCAGACCGAAATTTCCGTCGTAGTTGGTGAGGTTTCCGACGGAAATTTTCGTTGGAAGAGGTATATTCCGACGGAAATTTCTGTCGGAAAAGTCAATAAAGAAAAAAAAAAAACCCCCCCACCCCACCCACCCTGCCAAACCTCCCCCACCCCACCCCTGACCAGACCCCCACCCTACCCCACGGCCCCACCCTACCCCACCCCACCCTATCGAGCCACCACCACCCCACCTAACCAACCCCCTAACCCACCCACCTAGAAAAACGAAAAAAGAAAATTACCAAATCGAAAAAAATAAAAACGTAAAATCCGAAACAAAAATTACGACAAAAACAAGATCTAAACCAGTAGATATGCATATTTGATCTGAATTTCAATTAAAAAAAAAACCACAATTCACTATTATCATTACAAATATCTAATAAATTTATAAACTACAATTAGAATTACAAAAATAACTAACTATAATCATAAATGTTCAAAAACAAAATAAGATCTACAATTTAACCTTAACTAAAACCAGATCTACAAAAAAAAACCTTGGTGTTGTTGCGACGGTGGCCGTTGTTTCGCGGTGGTGGTGCTGTTGTGGAAACCTTGAGATGCTCGCGCGGTGGGTGTTGTTGCGGCGGTGGTTGTTGGTGTTGTTGGTTGTTGGTGTCAGTGCGGTGGTCAAAGAGGACGAAGAAGGAGAAGGAAGGAGAAGAGGAAAGAGGACGAAGAAGGTGAAGGAAGGATAAGGAGAAGAGAGAGAAAGAGAAAGAGTGGGCGGAGGAGAGAGAATGAAGGAGGAGAGGAGGTCAGAGAGGAAGAGAAGAGGAAAGAGGAGAGGAGAGAGAAAGAGAAGAGAGGCGGAGGAGAGGAGAGGAGAGAGAAAAGAGAAGAGAAACAGGAAGAAGAGAAGGAGAGA